CACACACACACACACACACACACACACACACACACACACACACCTAGCGACAATTTGAAGAGGCCAATTAACCTGACAGTCATGTTTTTGGACTGTGGGAGGAAGCTGGAGTACCTGGAGAGAACCCACGCATGCACAGGGAGAACCAAATAACTCTAAAAAAAACTCTAAAACAGTGAGCACAGCTTTCATCTCTCCATCACTTGTAAACAAAAATGGAGTGGCATCAGATTTTAGCGGTAGTAAGATTTCTCTGTTTTTGGTAAAAGACCATGAGTCATTTCTCCCGCTAGCGCTAGACTCACATGTTTGTTTTAGCTGTATTTACCCAGAATTCCCTGTGCAGTAGTCCGTTTACTGCTCCTGGTCTGTTTGGCTTTCACATACGCATCCAAATCACATCAGATTTGAAGCCTCGGTTCAGACTTCAACTGAACCGAGACCGAGGTTTTTAGGAATTTGCTTTTTTGGTCCACATCAGAGTTTGATTATGCATTCACACCTCAATAAATGGACTTTCTCGTCAAAGGAAGCAGCTGGATTAAAGCAGACTGAACTGGGCTGGTGTGGATGCACCCTGAATCTGCCCTGGCTCATGAGGCCAACAATCGTCTCTGTATGTTGTGCTGAAAAACTAAAGACGGGACACTCTCTTTGATTTGCTAAAAGTAAATGGAATATTGTCCCTACTGTACAAATGCTCTCAGCATAAAGGTGGGAATTTTCTAATAATACAAACCCACAATATGATATGAGTTACAGTAACATTTCCTTTCCCTGCGGGGTTCACAAAGTATTCTTCCCTGGATTGAACTGAACTGTGTTCTTGTACACAGCGTAAGCTGCTGTTTACTGAAGAGCTCAGACCGAATAGCTCATATCTGAAACTCTAATCCACTTCCCACAACTGGAGTGTCTGCTGTACAACTCTGTGACATGACTAAGAGTGTACAAATGTTTGTGTCCACTCTATATGCTGAAGATCTATGCTTCATACACCAGTTTGAACTCATGGCTTTTTCATCGACTGCTTTTTTTTTCTCTCCAAACACCCACACCATCTATTAAGCCTTACCTCCTTGTGACATTATATGAACAAATGTCTGATGCCATATTGATTGGCTAATTTTCTGCAGGTCAGGAAGTGCTGCAGAGCATCGCCTCTGACACTCAGAGGTGCTTCTTGTTTTGCCCGGGGATATTTCAGCTTACACAGCTTCTTTTTTTAATAACGAAACCACAGAACAAAAATGTGCATGTGTGATGAAAGCTGTAAAAGAACCACTAACAGAATGCTGAACGGAGCTCATGTTGAACTGTTATTATCTCTGCAGTTATGGAGGCATGAAACCTTAACCACTATCATATTTTATCCCTCCTTATCTCATGGATTCACGCATGTTGCACAGTGTAAAAGACAGCCTCTTGCTCAAAACTGGACTTGCATGATTACTTTAATATTACATTCGACATGCAATTCATGCAACCTGTGGAATGAAAATCTTAAATATAGCGTGAACTAAATTTGCCTTCCAATTTAAAGCTCGAACCCTTTTTCCTGGTCTACAGGGAGTGAAGCAGTGCAGACACTTCAAAAAGAGCAGACACTGATTCTGAGTCTGTCTCTGCATCATAAAGACACTCCGTCTCGGCTCTGAGACCTTCAATTCCAAGGGGTTGAATATATTTTTCCAATGTGGGTGAGACAATGATTGCACAAGGGTCCTGTGAGATGATGAAAACAGTAAAGAAAGATCACAAAGTGAGGTGAAGGAGAGAGGAACCGCTAATCAAAGAGAATATGAGTCAGAGCTCAGTCTCATCTTGAATACTGTATTATCGTGTGAAAGTTCTTCAGTTGGTTAAACAAACCAGCAATATTGCAGTTTGAACAACGCAGAGCTGCTGACAACAAAAGATTGAAGTTGTTTGCACTGTGAAAAGCTTTGACGTAGAGCATATAGAGATGACATCAAACGCTTCTGCTGAACCTTTGATGTATACAAGGAAAGCCCGACTAAACCTCTGATCTCTGACGGCGAAGGTGACGAGTCATGTTCTGCCTCTGCAGGTTTCAGAGGTAAACGGACCAGAGTCGGTACTGTCTGCTCTGAGTCAGCGCTCAGCATGAGGTTAAAATCAGTCTTTTCAGAACAAATTAGGTTTCCTCCAACAGGCAACATCTAAGAGTGTTTAAACTTTAATCAACAAAAAAATGTATAAAAATTCACCTACACCAAGTTTTACAGACAGAACTACAAAGGAGGATTAGCATTACTGAAACAAAGGAAATTATTCTGACTTTAATCTTACAATTGACATTTTTCTTAGAATTCTGATTTTAGCCTAGCGCCAAAAAAATGTTGTTGTTTTTTTAACTGCTGTGTTCCCAACAAGCAAATTTATTTTAGAAAATGTCAGATTGCACAACTATATGGTGAATGGAAATGCATCTTTTTCCAAGTGTGTGTTCTGATTCAATTCAAGAAGTTCATGGCTCAGTCTGCTCCTGGGATTTGGAGTACAGATTCAGGAAGAGAAGGAGAAGAATACTTCCCAATGCAGATCCCCCACCTTCAACTAGACCTGTCACAATGACTCACTTTGTTGGATGATAAATTGTCCCGGAATTTATTACAATTAATGATAATATTGTTGTTTTAAGACCATTTTCAAGTAACATAATGGTAACAGCATAAAAAAGCAAGAACATATTCTCAAAGATTAAAAAACTTCAAATTCTAATGAACATGTAACACTGGAACTGGAATACATTTTCAATATCAAAAACACATAAACAAAACAGAAACAACAAATAAAATGAATTAAGAAGTGTCTGTATATTAAAGAAGGGCTGGTTATGACCAAAACACCAGACTGAAAACGTTCATCATCCAGGTTCTGGTAGAAAGAGAGAGAAAAGAGGAAAAAATGATAAATCATGCAAATGGAAATGATTTGAGTTTATAATGGGATTAATTGGTTAATTGATTATTACTGGCCTCCATTAAGCATCTCAGACTTCTCATATTTTTGCTGCAAATCTCTGACTTTATAATATAATCAGGAAAACGTACAAGTTCTTTTTTCTCATGAGAATGAATTACAAAACACCTGATTTAATATTGTAAATTTTACAATATTAAAATGTAAAATTTACATGAATCCATTTCCATGTATTAATTTTCATGTTGCAAATGTACAACTTTCTGTAATAAGAGTATCAAGATTTTTTAATTATGTGAATATTAATGGCAATCTAAAAATTTCTGGGGTTATTTTTTGTTTGTTTTTTTTGGTGGAAATGTTCTCCTCTGTGGTCAATTATTATTTTTTGCCTTTATCCACAATGGCCCTTATACTCCATTGTATACTCCAACTCACTTTTCTTTCTATCTCGCTATATCTATTTTTGCTTGACTTAACATTCTCAAGCCTTTTTCTGCTCATCTTTTATTCAGCATTGCTTTGATAATTGGAAAGCAGAGTTTTTCAAAAAATAGCTGCAGAATTGCTGAAGTGCGAAAAATTCCTTTCAGTGGTTATTTTGTCAGGGGAAATAATATTTCTTCCTTTTTTTATTCCTGGATGTTGTTGTATTAGTCCAGCTATGGCAGGCCTGATGCCCCCAGAGAACCTGAGGCAGTGTGATAACCTCTCTCTGAAGACGTGGCTACCTTCATCCTGCCTCCCAGGAGACCACAGCGTGCCAGAAGTACTTGGCAGAGATCGTTTGCCCTACCGCTGAACTTTTTTTCTTGGCTGGCACAATCCAAAATCGAGTTGGTTTGAGGGCCGCATCTCTTTGTGTTTTGGAGATGACTTGGACAGAGAATTGGAGGGTTGAGGACAAAATGTGTTTTGACGACAGGATGGCATGTAGGAGGTTAGTGGGAGACGGACGCAGGGCGAGAAGGCTGTCTGAAGGGAAAGAGAGGAACGGTGATATCAACACTGAGGTGAGCTGGACCAGGAGACACAGAGGTAACCCAGGAAATTAGGATCTGATTAACTGTCAGCAAAGTCAGGGAGAGGGATGCTGTGACAAGATTATCTGAGGGGCGAGGAAAGAAGAGGAGTGCAGTCTACCACTCTTCTTTGCCAACTTTGCACTTACCAACTTTTTGGAAGCAGCAGGTGGTTGAATAAAGAAGGGAAGAACAGAAGGGAAGAAAAAAAATAAGAGACAGGAAAAGAAAAAAGATGTTACTGGAAAAAAGAGGCAGCAAGTTTGCACAGAAAGCTGACATCTGAAAAAAACAATCCTTTGCAAAAGTATGCATATTAACTTTGTCACATCTGGTTTTAGTACAAGCAAAAACGCTGATGTATGTTGTTTAGGTTTTAATGAGACCAGTGAACAGACAGGAGCACTTAACTGTGAGACGGCAGAAAAAATATATTTCTGTGATATAATAAGCAATATGAAAATTCCCATTTTTTTGGTAAATAGATTAACCTCAGACTGGATGGTATGTGTTTTGAATAGAGTTGACTGTTATGTGTTTGTAAATATTATAAGATGTTTAACTGGTGGAAGGTGTTGTGACGTTTAAAGAGAGTCCAAAGTGTAGGGAAATATATAAACTACATGACATCGGTAAGTATCGGTTATTGGCCATAACAGCAGTATTCATTTCAGTTGTCAGCCCAAATTTTCATATCAGTGCATCCCTAATTCTAACATGAAAATGCATTCTAAACTATTTCAGTGTCGCCCTTGCTGTGTGTTCAGGGTTCAGTTCTGCTGGAAGGTGAACAAACACATTCAAGTCTTTTGAAACATCCAAGTTTTTTTTTTTTTCGAGTATTGATCATCTTCAGCTGTGTCCATTTCCCTTCACTTCTGACCAGCTCCTCTGTCCCTGCTGGAGACAGCGTGCCCACATGGGAGCAGTGTATTCAGATTTCTGTATTGAGGGAAAAATGTTGAATCTTGGGTCTCATCTGACAAGTCCATTAATTCTTTAAACCTTTTTTTTTTTTTTCAGACTTTCTCGCCACTCTTCCACATCGACTAGGTCTGTGAAGTGTGCAGCTAACAGTAGTCTTGTCACAAGATTTTCCCATCTGATCTGAAGCTCCTCTGAAGCTACCACGGGCCTCATGGCTGCTTCTCTGGGGAATGTTCTTCCTTCCTGCCATGTCAGCCATGGTTTGCTACTTTTGCAGTAGGATCTTTCTCTTTCCGTTTCCAGGTGATGGATGGAAACGGGTTGCTGTTTTAAACTTTCTTTCTGACAAGTTTGTTGTTAGTCTTGAGTGATGTTGCTGTTGTTTTAAGATGTTTGTTCTGGATTTCAGTGGCAGTGTTTCCATTAACGTCTTTTATGTGCAATTTAAAATATCATGTTAGAAAAGATTGATGGAAATGGCAAAATAAAAATAAATAAATAAAACATTGGCAATTTCACAAAAACGTTTTCAAGCTAGCTTGAGGTGGTTTTTGGTTTTTCTGGAAAAAGAGCTCATCCACCAAAGGGTGGTGAGGCTGTGCCTTACCAGGGGCACCAAACTCAGGTCCGAGCTTGTCCATTTTTCTGAGATGTGTGGTCCATGGCAGTTTCCAATGTCTTCTTCCTGTTTATTACAACCATGTTGCGTCCTCATGACCACATTACGCTTTGTGTAGCCTGGTTGATTCACCCCAAGTCAATACATGGAAACACGGCTAATTCACTTTATTTCCTTCTTTGAAAAATTTGCTCAAAATTCACAACAGTTGGATTCCATCGTATTTAAATTTGATGTCTGGAAACGTCTCTGCTCTACTCCCCTCACTTGTCCAAAACGACCAAGAAATTTTTTTTTCTTATTTTTATTTAGGTTGTGTCCAGTTTGACACTGGATAGAAAACCGTTTTTGGGTTCATTTATTTGAAAAAATGTTGGCTGTGTGCCCTCCTCCTTCATTTGCTCATTGTGAAGTTGTGACAGTTTTCTATGTTCTCCAGTGAAGCACTGAGGCCTTCATGGAACAGTTTGATTTATACTGAGGTTAACATTCACAGTTACACGACTTCTGTAAGTCATTTACTGCTTTGGGTTTCTAATTAGGGGTATAAGATTAAAAGTGGTTAGGATAAAGATGGATCCACAGTTTTCAGATGTTTAATCCTAAACAAATATGCAAACTATCATTTTCTCCCCTCTCTACTACTTTTTGATAAAGTAGATAACTGAAGATTCTGGTTGTGAATAGATCAATAGGATGCAATAAGAACAGCTTCAGTTTTTAATCAGCATTCTGTTTGGATCGGCTGATGATGATGCAACAGCTGCAGAGCGGTCTTCCTTTACCGTCTTTTACCTAGCAGGCCCTTCTTTAACTCTGCTTTTCAGGCCCTGAGTGGCTGAGGAATGACTTTGCAAGTTTGAACAATTTATATGAAAATCCGACTGAAAAAGTCCTCAGGTTTGGGATCCCCAGAAACGATTACCATGTTAGGCAAGAAAACCAATTTAAGGTAATGGTAAAGATGTGGTTAGTCTTTTTTTCCTTCTCCCTCTGGAGTTATAGGTCTTCTAAAAAGTTTTAATAGGTGGACTTGTTTTGTGAATTGCAGAAATAACTACTTTTTTCTCCCTTTAATTTGCAAGACCAGGTAAAAGAAATCCTCCCGTCCGAAGCTGGAAGACACTTCCCACTACAGCTCTGTCTTTATACCAGTGACTGAAGACGACTCACAGATCTTTTTTACACTGCAAGCTTACAGTACTTTTGAAAAGTATTCAGATAACTCAAATGTTTGAAATTGTGGTGCATTACACCACAATTTTATTGTTATTTTATGCACTAGATCAACCCAACGTAGCAAAAAAAATTTTCATTTTTGGACAAAACCATCAAAAACATGCTATGCATTTATATATGCCCACATTTTACTCAAATACCCTTAAATAATATGCAAAGTGCTGCACATGGTTCCACTGAGCTCATGCGTCAGAATGGCCCACTTAAAGTCCAGGCCTAAGTCCCATCAATCAATTGTATGGTTGATTGATGGTGACTCATGGATGAGTTTCTCTCTTGCTGAGACATCTGGCCTGTAATCCTGAAAATGTCCTTCAGGTGATAGAAGGCCGACTTTGTGACTGTCTTTATGTGGCTCTGAAGGTTCAGGTCAGAGGTCATCACTACTCCCAGGTTTCGGGGCTGATTGCTGGTTTTTAGTTGTAATAACTGAAGCTGTGTGTTGACTCTTGATCTATAACTCTATAGATCTCAAGGTCCAAAGATAATAACTTCATTTTTATTTCTGTTCAGCTGGAGAAAGTTTTGGCCCATCCACACATTTATCTGTTCTAATCATCTCTTCAGTGATTGGATGGTTCGGAGTCAAGTGATGACCTTGTAATGTACAGCTGTGTATTATTTGCATAGTTAAGGTAGTTTGTCTTACTTCCTGTTATAACCTGAGCTGGTGTGAGTATGTAGATATTAAATAAGAGGCTCTAGGACTGAACCTTGGGGTACCTCTTATGTGACTTGAAAGGTTTTTGACAAAACTTAAAAATAGCTTTTCAGAAAAGTTATTGATCCAATATGACTCATCTTGACCTATTTTGCAAGGAAGTGTACAGGGAAAAAAGTGATTCTGAAACTAATAGAAATGTATCCCAAAATACTTTCACCTGTAATTACAGCAGAAGATGCCTGCATTGAATATGGCAGCACTGAATGAAAATAAATGCCATACTTTTTAGATTCTGAGTCATAAAAAGGTTTATGCTTTACAGGTAAAAAAAAATAAAAAAAATGTTTTGGGATCTCACATAAAACTCCATTAAAATACAGTAAAGTTTGTGATAGTAGCATGACAAAATATGAAAGAAAATTTAAAAACATTCTGACCAATGAGGAAGGTAACATGTTCATCACCTACATACACAGGCCAGTCGGTTGCTACACAAACAGAAAATGATGGGTGTCACTTGAGTGGATACCACCATTGCTCTAGGAAGCAATTACATTAATACTTTGAGTTGAATTAAAAACCTCATTGCAGCAGCTTCATTTAATGATCTGGAAAGTAAAGGATATTAGCAAATACCCAGTGATAACACTGGCAATGCATTTGCCACATCTAATTTACGCGTCCCATTTATGGCACATTGTCCTTTCCAATCAAGTGTTAAATAGAAAAATTAAATTTGAATATTAGAGCTCTTAGGGGGCTTTTGACATTGGGCAAATACAAAGTGCCTGAAGTATCACATGGTCATTTTAATGCTAAACAGTGTTATTATGGCATTGCTGACAGGAATCCCATGGATAAGACATTGTATTGCCACAACATGGGCAGGTTGAAGAAAGATTGATTTTCTTTTAAATGAGCCTGGAAGACCTAAGAAAGTCATATAACATTGATAAAGGGCAGGATGGTGAGAAATCTGTGTTCATCTCTGCGCTCTGTGATATTGAGAAAACCATGTTTTACAGAAGATAAAGCAAGAGGAAAGTGACCTTCATCTTAATAGCAGAAAATAGTTGGAAAAGAGATGAAAAAAAGCCAATAACCAGATAGAAACTCTCAGTTTTTAAAATGATGGGTGAGGAACAGACTTGCTCATACTGGCTTGGAACCATTGATAACTGCTTGCAGTTCTAGATGGTTTTTACACCAGAATAAGGTATTGAGCTTATACATGGTTTTTACACAAGAATCTTTTCCAAAATCAATATGAAAAGTTGAGATTTGCATTTGTATTCATCCCCCTTTAATCCGTGACCTCTAAATAAAATCCAGTACAACTAACTGCCTTCAGGACTTCAGCTAACTCACGTATGTATGATTTAATCTCAGTATAAATCCAGCTTCACTGTAAGGATTAGTGGGAAAACTGTATGATGAAGATCCAGGGAAACGGCAGTCATCCCTGACCTGTCCTGTTGTGGCACATCAGGCCAACGATGGCTTAGTGATGGAGTTTGAAGCAGAGTTAAGTTGTAAAACAACATCTGAAGCTGTGGAGATGTCAACTTTGTAAAATCCATCATTTGAAAATGGAAAGAGTGCAGCAGACCCGAGATAAAGTTCAGATTTATGGCAAGCCACCGTCATAACCCTACTCTATGTGGTAGAGTGGAAAAAAGACAGTTTTTGTTGAAAGAAAGCAACGAGTAGTCCTATTTACAGCAAACAAGTGAAGAAGATGCTCTAGTCAGTTGAGACCAAAGTTTTTATGTGTACTTAAAACTAACACTGGATAGCACCATGGAAACAACATTTCTATGGAGAAACATGGTCGCGGCATCAGCATGATATGTGGACATATTTCTTTCTGAACGGAGTGGATGGAAAGGAGGGGCAATACTGGAATAAACCGAACGTAAGGCCACAAAAGATTTTACAGTGGTGGAGAGGAACCGTCAAGGAGCACAGCTGTGGATCTTATGCTGAAGTTTGTTGAGGCAGGACTGATTCCTGGACTATCAGTGGATAGTTTTATCTGAAGAAGCCATGGCAAATAACTAAAGCATATTCATCTGGTAAAATGGTTCAGTCAAAACCTAAGACCTAAATCCAGTTGAAAATTGATGTTCACAGACTCTCTCCATCAAATCTGACAGCTAATTTTGTAAAGATGGATGGGCATAAAGAGACACACCTAAACTCTTTTAGATATTTATTTTCCTTAAACTTCACAAACATGCACTTCCGTCAAATAAAATCCCAGCAAAAACAAACAAAACTTAAAGTTTGTGGTTGTAAGTGCTACAAAATCTGAAAAAGTTGACTATGTCTGACTCTGAGCTCCCATTAAAGAAAAATAACTTCCTGACTTGTTTGCTGCCGAGATGATTCATTGCTTTTAGAATAAATATCATACGCATTTGCCTATATGCAAAAAGATTTAACAGTGAAGGCAGTTTGATATCAAACACATTTCTATTTATACCATCTGACTAAGTGCTTCCGTAATAGCTGTCAAGCTGCTTTTGCATGGCAGAAGTGAGAAGTCAGTGGTTTCGGGGTTTTCAAACATGTCAGCGCAGAATTGCGAGCATTTAAATTTTTTCAGTTGCCCTATATAGTTTTATTTTTCTGCTTCTGTTTGTTTAGATGTTTAAATTATGTGTTGATGCAGAGAAAACACAGAAGCCTCTTACTGGGGTCTGACAGGATGGAGTCCGTCTTGGGCAGGAACTGGTCACACCGGATTCCTTGGTAGCCTTCACGACACCTGGTGGACAAAAAAAAACACAGTTTCTCTTTGAGACTGGAAAATCTCCACAAAACCTTCCTCAGAGTGTTTTCTGACAAAGCAGTGGAGGTTTTTTTAGAGACAAACAGACAAGGCAGGTATAGATAAATACAGAGAAGCAAGCAGTCTTTCAGGGCACCAAACTTAACAGGAGGAGGTTGTCGTCGGTCAGTGAATCTTAAATCCAAACACCTTGTTCAGGAGAGAAATTCAGTTCAATGACGTATATGATCACAAAGGGAAAACACAAGTTATTGCAGGCCAGAGTCTTTGAAGGGCAACGATGGTTTTAGCTGTGTCCTCTCTAAAGATGTTCTCTTGACACTTTTATTGAATTGTGTTGTGAAGCAGATGTTCAGGGTTGTCCATAATGGTTTTTATTTCATACAGAAACCCTTTTTCAATTTTTGATTCTAAATTGAAAACAACTGAACAAAAAGTATACAGACCTTTCTCTTTCAAACAAGAACATATTTTGTATTTTTAACAGACATAATATCCTTTAAAATGAGACAATTTTTTTTGATAGCAAGATACTACGCCTGTATTACTTTCCTAGCTCTGGCAGTTAAACGTTCCCACAGGAGAGGAAGTTGCCTCCTCATCAAGCTGATTACAGAAGATTTGCAACATCATCTTTCTGGAAGCACTGAAGGTCCTACTAAGTTTCTTCAAGAAATATAGTCAGACTTATTTCAGTTTCTCCTGAAAGACATAATCATGTCTCTTTCACTTTCTAGATGAAATAAATGTTCCAACATGAAGTCATTAAGCAGTAACACCAGCTCTGCCTCCTCAGCCTCTAGTACATCTCTGGTACAACCAGCATGTACAGAATCCACAGAGTTTGTTGTAGTGGAAGTCTGAGACGAACACAGTGAGAGGACAGACCCCCGTGGGGCTCGGGTGCTGCTGGCCACCGGGTCGGACACATGACCCTCCAGTTTCATAACCTTTAGTCTCGTTCAACTCAGTGATGCTGAATCTGCATCGAAGAGATTTAACCCCTCCAAATGTACGTCAATAAATAAGGGCACATTCTGAGGGTTTTCAACAGTCCTCTGAATTTGAGTGGCAAATTAAGAAGCAAAGAATAACCATTAAGTAGCTAATGAGTTCTGAAATGTACTCAGTCTGCCCTTCAGAAAATGTCTCTGAAAAAGTGTGTTCTTTAATAAATGTCAGCTCAATAAATATCTCCTGATCAACATATAGAAGCCTGAGTGAGGAACAGGAACACGGCGCAGGTTTAAACGAAGTTCGCCGTGAAGCCTCGGCTTGTTTGCATATCGGTCGTTGCCTCTGGCTGTTTGAACCTTCGCCTTCCCGTCTCCTTGCTGTGGAAGCTGCAGGTCTCACGTATGGAAATGGACTTAATATGCAGTCTGCTCTGTTTTACTAAGTCTCAGATCTTACCTCTGCTCAAACTGTTTCTTTATTTCACCTCTTCATTTCTTTTGGCTTCACAAACACGTCTAGATTCAACTGCACTGCATTTCAACAAAATACAATGTGGCTTTATTTTACCAGATAAAGAAAGAGAAGACGTACGTCTGCCCTGACAAGACCCTCAAACACTTAGAGATTCATTTAAGAAAACAACAAACACTTTGAATTTGATATTTCTTTCAGAATGGTAATGACAACCTTTTTGTGATCCATCCATGGCGAGTGACTTTTAATCACATCAGCTCCAGCTGGCGAAGAAACATGAACACAGATGAAAGGATATTTGGAGAGACACAAGCTGATAACAAAAGCTGTGACTTTAAATCTGAGTCCAAACAATAGCCATAGAAAAGATCCTTATCTCATAGAACGTTAATGCAAAATGCAAAGATAGAATGCTAATCGATCACAAAATCCCTGCAAGAGGAGGGGCGACACCATCAAAGTGTAAAAGTAAGGCATTTAGAATCCACTAGTCATAAGAAACAAGCTCTCACTATAAATACATTTTATTTTAGGTCAGCGGGGTGGAGAGCAGGTGAGCAACATGATAAGGACTCAAAGAAAAAAAAAAATATCTGTGCAAGCCAAAATTTAAGATTTAAATTCAAAGATTATTTTATAAAAACTCAATAACTCTACATGTGAAACCCCCCAAAAAACTAATTGTATTATTAAACCCCTGAAGTCCCAGCACTAGCTTGTAATTACAGGTTAGCAGTATAGATTTTAAGTTAGATATTTACATGCAATGTATAAAAACATACTTTTTCCTCACTGACTGACATGAAATCAGACCAAAATCTTTGTTTTTTTTTTCCTTAGTAAATTAGGATCACCAACATTTTAATTAAAGTTTTTTCTGCTTCACTGCCAGAGACACAAAATAAAGGAGCAGAATCTCGTTATAAAGTGAAGTAGTATTTTTGTTATGAGATTCAAAATGAGATATTAAAATACATTCCTCTGACAGATTACAACTTCTCACTCCTTCTAGATTACAAACATCCAACAAAGTACTGCCGTTCTGTTACGGCTTTTCTTGTTTAGACAAGAACATTTTTTTGGTTAATCTGTTAAAACCAGAAAGTTTGTAATTATAACAACATACTGGTGATGCTTCCCTATTAATGCCATAAAACAGAGACAGATAATTTTTTATACTATCTTCAAAACCAGAAATTACAATCATACTTAGAACACTTTAAACAGTTGATGTTGACCATTTGCTTTGTGAGCTTTCTAATGATCTGAATTTTGCTGTGATGGCATAGTTACTTTGAAAAAGTAACTTTAATCAGATTACTGATTACTCCTTGAAAAAGTAATTTAGTTACTTTATTGATTACGTGATGTGGAAAGTAACTAAGTTAGATTACAAATGTCTTTATTAGTTACTTTCCGAAACTGCTAACAACCCTCCACCACCTCAAGATAAAAATGACATTGAGTTTTGCCAATACTTACGCAACTGCAAGTTATTTTATAATCATAAGATCAGCCATGTATCTCCACTTATAAAGTTGAACATAATCTTATAATAAGGGGAGATAGTTCAATGGTTGCAACCGTCCAACCCCCCACCCCCAAAAAACAAAAAACATTTATTCATATTTTTGTTCTTGTGTGTTCCACTACTGTCTGGAAAACTCTGAAAAGGATTTTAGAGTCTCGCTGTTTGCAGTTTTCTGGAACAGCAAATATATTAACTTGACATTAACAAAGACACAGCAGGACGAATGTGGAAATGATGGACAGGGAGAGTCTGACTGAAACTACATGGATGTCAGTCAACTCCTTCACATTCAACACCCCTAGTTATCACCAATGGTGCTGGTTTATTGAGCAATTACTTTTTCACACTGGACCAGGTTCATCTGAATGACTTTCATCTTTTATTTATTTATTTTTTGATCATTAAAATATTTAAGCTAGACTATAGAAAGTAATACCAGAATAAATCTGGTATAATCTGGTAAAATCTCGGCATAGTGTTTGCAAAGAGGACATAGATATTGGTCGGGTGGATTTGGTGGAGACACACACCTGCCCTGCACAGGGTGATGGTTTGAGCATTTAAAAGGTGGTTGTCATTTTGTTGTTCTTCACTAAACAACTGCTGTCATTCATTTTCATCTCACCGTTCCTAGCAGATGGAGACTCTACATTATAGATGTTAAGAGCAGGCTCCTGTTTTACATGTTTTCCGTTGAAACCAGGATGTCACTTCGTAGCAGTCAGGTAATACAGAGTGGTAGCTGACATTAGTTTCCTAAAGGCACCAGCCCACATTAAATTCACAATAGAACGAGTCAGATTTCAAGAAGAATGCTAAACACCCACTATGGTGACCCAGGGGGATGAACTGACTGCTTTCCTTACTGCATAAAAAGTTTTTCTTTGTCACATCCATCAGGCCACATCACCTGGCTGACAGATGATATCAACCATGCTGCTAAAAAGACCTGAAAAAAAATCTTACAATTTGTCAGAATGTCTGCATAGCCTCCCCCAAACCAAGGTAGTTGATTTCAGCTGTTAGAGGCTCAATATGTGCAGGAGCAGGAACTCCACATAGACACAAAGCTCTATTGCTTCATAGACACGACTAAATTCAATTTAGCCTTTGCTTGAAGTTCAGTAGATTTCTAGACAGTGAACTCCTGACTATTGAAAGTTCTACTTCACATGCTACTGGCTAATGTTTGGACAGCAGCCAGTCCAGGAGCGTCGTCCATTTGCCTCAGCACTCATTGGTTTTACACCCAGAGCAAAAGACAAACCAGACTGTAGATGTTAGCTTCTTCAGAAGAGCTTAGATGGTTTCTACAAGACAATGAATTAATAACAATATACATTACAATAAACATGTCACCAATTTTATACATACTGTACAACACGTTGGTGCAGTTAATAGCTGTTTTTAAAGTGCTGTATTACTAAATTGACATCAATGTCAATAGATAAAACATCTGATAAAATTTTCAAGAATTTCACCAGTCCAAGTTTCCACTGTTTGTATTAAATTATATGGACAGTGTCTGTATAATTTGGTGTTCGAACACCAAGGCATATTTGTGTTTAAACAGTTAAATAGGCTGTTACAATCGTGGGTCTTCATGGTCTCTAAACCATTTTATTACACCAAGTCTACTGCAACTTTTTACATTAATATGTTTATTGACAAAGATTAGAAAAAAATAATGAAGTGTTGGTGTGAAGGATTACATTTGCTAGCTCTGCACTTTTTAATGATCACTAGTATCTTTAACTTTGAACTGAACAAAAATACTAAGCATCCACGGGGAGATTACGCAAATCCAAACAAACTATCCTCAGTCTGGACTCAATCCCGGGACCCTCTGGTACTAATAACTGCACCATCATAATTCTAACTAGTAGGCAAGCATATTCTTCTTATTACATGACCTTAAACACCAATAAAGTCCTAATTCTAGTATTATCATGACTGTTATTTTGTCCAACAAACTCTTTTCTTTCTGAAATTTCTTTTCACACATTTCACACAC